GTGGGGGGTTGGGAGGGGAGGGTGTTTAGAGTGCATGGGAGAGGGTAGAGAGGGCAAAAGGGAGGGAAGGAGGGAGGGAGGGCTTGGGGGGAGGGAGGGAGGGAGGGAGAGGGAACTGGGATCGACATGTAAAATAATAATAATAATAAAAAAAAAAAAAAAAAAAAAAAAAAAACGCTTTGACTCCAAAATTTAAGTTGAAGAACAAGTTACTGGGGAAAAGTATTTCTATTTTTGTTTCCACAGAAAATGAAAAGATGTGGATTCCTTCCAGACTAATGTGGTTTGATCACACCAGACCGCCTGAAACAGAGTACAAGCTGATCCTACATTCCAAACAGCTGGACAAAACAGCCCTACAGACTACAGCTAGGATATCTGAATCTTCTTCGAATCCCCCAAGACAGCGCCCCTTACCAGCAGGAAGTAGTTTGGAAAGAACGACGCCCAAATTCCCAAATATTGTGTATAAATGTTTGTTTTCATTTAATTGGACTTTGTTATATAAAATTAAATAAAAAATACTCTATATGCAAAAAAAAAAAAAAAAAAAAAAAATTTAAGTCATAACCTTCTCTGACAAGGAAGCATATTTAGGAAGGACATAAACATGTCCTGATGTTCTATACAAGCTGGTCTCTGCCCTGGAGAGGAGCACAGTTTACATCTTCCACTCTAAATAAGCCCAGACTGCTGTGCCTTTGGTTTTTTGCACTGACATTTTATAATTATTGTTTCTCACTTTCATCATAAGATATTGACACCCCTACAGTCACGTTCATGTAGCTGTCTCTAATGTTACTTTAACCTATTGTCCACATTGTTTCTTCAAATCTACCTTTTTTTTTTTTAAAGGGAACACACATAAAAAAATTTGCAAAGATATAGAAAGAAGCTATCAAAATAAGACTTTGAAGGCTGAGTGGTATCCATGAATTTTAAAAAACTGAAGTTTGTCACATATACTTTCCTTTTACTTCCTATGTAAGAGTTCAGTTTCTCATCTAAGACCAATTTCTGCCCAAGAACTGAGTAATACTTGCCATGATCTTAAGGTGGAAGCTGACTCTGGACTCCAGACTACAGTAACTGACCCAACACCAGTCACATTTCCCATGCCATCCATTTATATAGAACTGTTTCTTTACCTCAGAATATATAGCTATAGCCATAAACCCATTTGTGATTATTTTATGTTTGTATCCTCCACTACTAAACTGCCAACCCCAGGAAAGCAGGGACCACAACAAATTGTGCTCACATTATAACCCCACTAGATACCCAACATTTTAGAGTGCCCACTCATTTTGTGACCGATGACTGAAGTAATAACACATGGCATGTTCAAAGCCCAAAATTCTTTTCTCACTGGTGCTGCCTTGAATGATCTTGAACAAATACAAACCTTCTCTAACTCTCAGTTACTACATTCAGAAGAATCTTCAACATGATGCTAAGTGTGTTGTTCGCTCTTAGGTTTCCATTATATCCAACCAAGGGAATACCAGATGTCAAGGACATAAGCCCAGTGGGAAACTACCAGGGTAGGAATACCAAAGGTGGGCTGCTTAGTCTCAGAAAAGAGCAAGACTGGCTCCCAGTTCTCAAAAAAAAAAAAAAAAAAAAAAAAAAGGTTACTTCTAAATTGATATTTTCTTTGGGAAAGTGTTGAGGGAAAGAAGTTTCTTATGGAAACTCTACTTTCCTTCCCTGCATCTTGTATGAGAATTTAACACACACCAAGTTTATGAATGATATTCTCATTCATCAGACTTTGTATTTTAAATTTATATGTTTTATTTTTCAGAAATTTGCCTTTTGAATTGGAAAAAAAGAAATCTAAAAAAGATCCTTTGCCAGATATGTTTGACCAAAGGAGCACATTTTAGTGAAGGCCTTGTCCTTTGAAAGCATACCATCTTACAGCTGTAGGTTGGCCTTAATATCTACAAATCAATGGTAGCTCCAGAAGACAGCAGAATCCCGGGGACAAGAATTACAGACAGTTATAAGCCTATCATGTGGATGCTGGGAATTGAACTTGACTCCTCTGGAAGAGTAGCCAGTGCTCCTAACTGCTGAGCAAGTTCTCCAGCCTGTAAATGTGTAGCCCAGGATAGCCTCAAACTCATGATCCTCCTACTTCTGCCTCATCAGCATATGATGGTTATGCACCATCACAACCATCTGTTGTGAGAACATTTAAGTCATATAAATTAACTTTGTAAAAATGAAGGTTCTGGAAATGGGTAGGGGAAGATGCTTTTATGGCTCAAAGGGGTTTTCAAATCCCACCTACAGATATAATTATCATCCTTATGTCAGTTCCAGTCCCCTAGAATACCATGGAGGGGAAAATGAATACACAATTCTAGTTCCTGCACACCACGTTATAGTCAAAACTTGGATATCCTTTCTCCCAGAATCAGTTGCAGCAAATGAGTTCACTTTGGGAGCAAAATTTAAAGGAGCATCATAAAACCTGGTAATCAAAATAGTATTTCAATATGACACTTTATGATCAAAAAGCAAAACTCATGAACAAGATATGAAATTTTTAATAAGGAAGGATCTGTATTATTGATTTTTCCTTTTGCCTTAGGCTCCACTACAGTGCAGCTCAACACTTTCTCACTTTCTTCTGTTCTAGAATAAGACACCATGCATCAGCACAATGGAATATGCAAAGGAGGCCAGTTTGTGCTTGCTACATCACTCTGAGCCAGAGAAACACTGGAGGGAGAGTGAGCACCCAGACCTCAGCATTAAGACTCAACAGACAGCTCTTCTCAGGATAAGGAGGGTTGGTTCCTGTCTTAGGCTGTTTCTGTTTCCTACTGGGTCCAGTAATTTATAAAGACATTTATGTAGCTTACAGTTCCATAGGTCCAAGAGCATGGCACCAGCTTCTGTGTGGGGCTTCTAAAGTGAGGGCTACATGCTGCTCCACAAGGAAAAGATTCAAGGGAAGCACTAGCAGGTTCTTACAGAAGAGCTGATATGGACAGAAAAGAAGCAACAGAAAGCCAATTTACTTTTATTCACAGGCCTCCACAGGATAAGCAACCCATCCTTGAGGTGGCTACATTAATCCCTTTGTGAGTATAGAGCACCCACAACCCAATTACCTCTTAACAATCCCAATAGCTCTCAACACTGCCACACTGGAAGCTAAGCCTCAACATGACTTTTCGTGATGACAAACCATAATAGTTCCCATAGGTCAATAAAAAGAGGCTCTCATTGAAGCACAGGCTCTTCTCTGATACCACTATTATCACTCTGCACACAGAATACCAGTATACGGTGTTCACATTTCTCCAAGAACTCACTCCATTGTGCAACACTAAAATCTTCCACTCCTAAACATCTCTGTAGTAATAAAAGCTGTTTATTAAAAAAAAAAAAACGTATTGATCAGTGTCTACCATTCAAAGAGCAAATACTGTGAGATGGAATGAAAGAAATGGTGCAGTGAGCTATTTATCTTTACAGAGCACTGCCAAAATAAATGGTCCCAGAGAAGGTTCTGTGCCCTGAGTTTTAGTTATCCCTTAGCTCTTATTCCTTAAGCATCAGTGGGAGAGACACGCTATCAGGACTGTCAATCAGATGCGGTGGTTACAGGTGATTCTGCATTTTCTACTAAGGTAATAGGGAGAGAATCAATGCAAATTGGAGAATATTTCTAGGATTGAAATTAATCTGTTAAATAAACAATGAAAGAGAAAACCTCTTGAATGGAGTGCCTGTATAGCACAACCACTGTAGCCAAACTAGACACTTCAATCTTTAAAATGATGCCAGAAAGAGAGGCAGAGCTTATATCAAGTATCTAGCAAGTAATGTTACCCTGCTCCCTGTGCCCCAATATTACTCTTCCCCAATTGCAACCTCCATATCTACTGTCCTGTGACACTGAAGGCTAAGTTTAGTAATAACACCTCACTATTACTTTTCTAACCTACTAGGAAATTAATAATAAAACCAAGTAATCTTTCAAGATAAAATATCAAGCTTTTGAACAAGCAGTAGATGGGTAGTCCAGGGGTGGAGATCCTGAAAAAACAGAAAACAAAAAACCTGTAGGGACGGTTATTCTTATCCACCCAAGTATCTTTTCTGAATAGGACATGTAAACAGAGTATGCATTCAACAAATAATTGTGTGAATAAAACTTAAAGCTAGTGAGGATCATTAAACTTTTTTTTGCCCGAACTAAATAATAATCAGAAGGCAGCTTGTCAGGCCTGTGTTGCAAGCAATTACCCAACAGGAATATGGGCTGAACTAACACTATAAAGTCATTGCTTCTGCCTCCTTAGGAGACAGAAAGTTGAAGTAGTCAGTTCTATTCCTGATAAGAGAGGCCTCTGAGATTACTAATTAGAAATCAGTTTGGGGGCCCAGAGAAGGGCGAAAAGATAGGTGAGAATCCTTTAAGGTCCACAAAGAAACGCCTCTTAACAAAAGGTGAAATTGTAGACGAGTGCAGAAGCAAAGTACAGAGAGGCTATTTCCTTTTCCTATTGCTATGTGGACTCTCTAATGGAAGTTCTGGAATATTACTCGACTCAGTTAAAGAATGCAGTTCTGATAACCTCTTCACCATCCATAGACTGAAATAAACAGACCTGGCAACTGTAATAACACTTTAAGGACAGGCATCCAGAGACCTAAGAAGCACCTAGGCCAGAGAACGAAGCTCACATGACCAGCCTACTGACATCACTCTGGAAATGGGCCCTTGGGCTCCGTGCCCACGACGGTGGTGCTCAACGAGGGCCAAGCCAAATCCAAAGGTTTGCAAATGGAACTCTGAGCAGGGAAGATCCCGGAGGCGGCTGACCCAAAAGACGCTGAGCCCACACCCAACGGACCAATGGCCGTGGAGATAGGGCGGGCTGTCGGGGCATTGGGCCAATGGGAGTGCGGCAGGGCTAAAGGACGGCCCAGCCTCGGCGACTCGGACTGACAGGTTAGCAGCTTCGCCCGGGCCCATGTTGGAGCTACCCGGAGCCCGGGTGTGTGCCGCCGCGCTCGCGGGCGCTCTCCTCCTGTCGCTTTTCGTGCTGGTGGTCCGCCAGCTCCTGAGGCAAAGGCGACCGGTGGGCTTCCCCCCGGGGCCGCCGCGGCTGCCGTTCATTGGCAACATCTGCTCTCTGGCCATGTCTACCGAGCTTCCCCACGTCTACATGAGAAGGCAGAGCCGCGTGTATGGCGAGGTAGGCGGCGGCGCAGACCTTCCTCCGGCCAGAAGCAGCGGCGGGAGACCCTCGTGGGCCTGCCGCCCGCCCGCCCGCCTGCCCGACCCGTCTAGGGAAAGCCGCGCCTCCAACCGGAAGCCGCCCCACCGCTGCCACACCAGAGCCGCTTAGGGTTGAGTTTCCCGCCCACAGGCGAGCATGCGCGCGTGTGCCATGCGGTCTGAGAAATTTCTAGGCTTGTGGCCCCTGAGCTTATGGGGGAAATAAAAACGTTGTGAGTTTTCTAGGACAGAGTTAGTGGTTAGTATTGCAGGTTGACTTTTAAACCTTTTTTTTTCTTTTAAAGATTTAACACTAAAATATTGATCTTTAATGTTCTGAACCTTAAATTTGCCTCATCTAGATACTTAGAATAGTGATAACCAAAACGGTAAAATGCTACCCAAATATATTGGCTATTATATACGATTTTGGTTATTCTGTGTGACAGATACCTTTATTTAGTGGTATTAGGAGTTGACCATACAGACTGGCCTAATAGAAACTTATCATGTCTAAATATTAAAAATTATCTTTAAACCAGTTATTTGAAATGGTTTCACATTGAATAGGAAATTAAAATTTTTATACATAAATATATGAGCTGAAAGGAATTCTTCAGTTACTATAAATATTCATATAGGACAAGTGATATAGGTAAGTCTATTACAGTAAGCTAAAATTAAAATGTGTGTGTGGAAGACTATCATCAAGGAATAGGTTAATTAGATTGAATTGCTTAGAATTTGGCATAAAATACTTACTTTGTTTCTGGTACACTGAGGAAACTGCATTGTTTACAACGATGACTATATATTTATTACATATCAAATAAGGCTAACCTGTGCTGATAGCTGCTCAACTGCAAGGAGCAAAACTGAAAATGTATCCATTGCAGAGTAAATATTGTATTGTTAGATTTAATACCCACCAAACATTAACTCTTTTTACACTACTGTTGCATTTGATCTTTATTCTAGCTTTAGAACATCCCTGAAGATCTCCCATTATCTTAGAAATAGTTCTCAATTCCGAAAGTGTCAAAATTAGTGTAAGTTGTTAAAATACTAACCACTTTTTATACAGTAGGAGACTTACCTCCTGTACTTCAGAAAGGTTGTAAGAAGCAGTTTATAGGAGTTATTTTTCTATCTCCCTTTTTAATTTTAGATATGTATTCAAATAAAAAATAAATCTGAACTTTCCTAATTTGTGCACTATGAGTTTAATCCTTTATAATTTTTAAAGGGAAAACTGCAGTGACCAAGATTCATATTTATTTTTAAGCAGTCTCATATAGAATGTGCTGCAGCATAAATTGCTATTTCTTTGGAGAGTCACTCTTAATAGTTTTAGCTTCTTCTGTGATTAGATTTTTAAAGTAGATTTTGAGCAGTATGCCATAGCTAGCAAAATTGATATAAGTGGATTTGTCAGACCGTTTCAGGCAATACTCTTATGGGCAATAAAGAAGATTGTTTTGCATTACAGCAAGCAAAACTGGCAGTTTATTAATTTAGTTTTATTGAGAACTTATTCGAGGCACTGAGTGGGGTTCTGTGGAGAATTTAAAAATGGAAAAAGAAGACATTTATATTTTATTTATAATTTAGAAACCAGACAGAAGAAAATGTTTCAGGTTCAAACTAGTATTCAATTAATGTCATGGAAGGTTTTATATGAGCTGTGATTACTCAAAAAAAGGAGAATAAAAATGCATATTTTTTTTTTTTAAAAAAAAGTACATGGAATACTGTCTCTAAACACTTAATATGGTTTAGGTAGTATGTCAATCAGGGGAGCCATTCCAAATGATGAAACAAACCAAGCAAAGGTTGAAAATGTGGCAGTAGCTTATCAGTACTACTACTATGTATATTTGTTTGTTGTTAGTGCTTAGCCAATTATGTTGTAATAACATGCTTAAATATATTTCTGCCAAAATTCATTAATTCAGCATAAATGCATCAATTGTTATCAAAAGCTATGCACTATCATCAGTGCTGATGATATAGTAGTGAACAAAACAGAGATCTGTCTCTGTAGTATACATTCTATGTGGGGGCAGACAGACAAAATAAATACAAGTACATTATATATTAGATCTATATGAAGCACAGCAGAAACTAAACTAGAGTAATGGACATGGACAGCACTGGAAGGTTGAATTTTAAGTTAGTCAGAACAGGCATCGTGGCAAGGGCATCACGAAAGGAGATGAAGAAGCAGGCTATAAGAACATCTTAGGGAAAACCCAACAGGAATAGAGAAAACACCAAGGGCAAGAAGCAGCATTCTGTGGTCTATCATAAGGGTGAAATGGAGGTGGATTGAACCAGAGTATAGATGTTGTAAAAGCCAGCTCTGCATTACTGAAACAAAATATTTGAGATAATAAACTTACAAAAAGGAAAGGTTTATTGTAGAGTCTGTCTTGGATGTTTAAGTCATTAGGTTAACCTCATTACTTTTGTAACTGTGGTGAAGCAGTGTATCATGGCAGGAGTGTGTGGCAAACAAGACTGCTTATAACATGTCAGCCAAGAATTAAAAATGAGTGAAGAGGAGGGGCCAAGATCCCTCATTTAAGGGCAATACCCATAACCTAAAACCTCCCACTAGGTCCCTTAAAACTTCTGCCCTTTCTCTGTAGCATTAAGCTAAAGACTCTAATATATAAGCCTTTAGGATACATTTAAGATCTGAAGTGATATTTGGCCAACTTCTTTTATAACTTCACAGTACAAACAGTATACATGCTGAGCAGTAGAATGTGTAGTTTGGGAGGAAATTGAGTCTACATAGGTCCAAGACCTTTCTCTTGTGCTCAAGCACCTCACAGAAGCAAGTTAAGAAAGGAAGGATTTATTTAGGCTTATGGTGCAGAAGGTACAGTTTATCATTGTCAGTTTACAGTGGTTCCTCACTTTGTACCAACTAGGAAGCAGGACATGACTTGGCTAGAACTGGGGTCAGGATATGACCCTCACTGCCTTGTCCCAACAACCCACTACCTCCTGTTAGCTTCCACTTCCCCAACCCACTACCTCCTGTTAGCTTCCACTTCCCAGAGGTTCTGTTATCTTTCAAAACAGTGTTTGCAGCTGAGGACAAAGTGTTCAACCACAAGTCTGTGGGAAAACACTTCACATTCAAGCAGGACATGCAAATGTTGAAGGATGAAAAAGTGTGATTATTAATTGCTATTTTCTATATAGAGCTAGTTTGGGTAGAGAAGAAATAATAAAAAGATACAGAAACTTTTAGAAGGCAAGAATATTTGATGTATTCCTGTTTATGTTTCTGCTAGCACAATTATCTCATAATAGACATTTAAAAACTGCCCAATAAATCAGAGATTGAGTAAACCTAATCTTGGACCCTTCCATAGATCAAAACAATTTAAGAGTAAGTTTTTGTAGTTTGATTGATGAAACGTTACTAAAAGTTCTTAAGTAGAATATACAACTAGATCAAGTAAAATTTCCCCCAATTGAACTCTCTTAACAACTATCTTAATTTCTTAAGTAAAGGTAGATTATATAATAGCTTTCTTAAGTGATTAGACCTTTTTTATAATCCCCAGTAACCACAGTCTGAAGGTTTTCTTTGAAATACATTCTACCTCTCTTCTGCCTTCATAATCACATAGCTTTCAACACCAAAATGTTGCACCATTCTGGCAAAACGATGAAGTTTTTGTTTTGGGGCTTTGTTTGTTTGTTTTTCTGCACCAGTACCACTTTATGGTGATATTTTATGACCTTAAAAAGCTTGTCTGAAGATCAGAGTGCAGAGCTAAGCCACTAGTTAGCCACATACCTATTAAGAGCTAAGCCACTAGTCAGTCACACACCTAAACCACTAGTTAGTCATAAGGCCAGACAGTTGTGGCTACACTTTTAATTCCAGCATTTGGGAGACAGAGGCAGATGGACCTTTGTGTTCAAGGCCACCCTGAGCTACAGAGAGTGAATCAGTCTAAAAGAGAAACAGAGCTCTCATCTTTGATCCCAGCACTTGGGATGACCCGCCTTTAATCCCAGCACTAGAGAGGAATAAAGTCAGGAACTTAGGTCAGTCTGAGGTTTGGTGGAGAGCATTTCAGTCTGCACTCATTTTGAGGACAGAATTGCCCCCCTTTGATCTTAGCCTTGGTAGAAGTAAGAACTCTTTAGTGGCTTGGTTGCTTTGCTTCTCTGATCTTCAGCTTGAACCCCAATATTTGTCTCTGGATTTTTATTATTCATGCTACACCACTTCCTATAAATTAATGCCATTCTTGTGAAATTTTCACTGAATACATTTTTGGGGGAAGACTTTTCTTTGACTACACTAATACTGCTTTGGGAATGGAAAAGATCACCCATTTGCTTATCTGGCAGCAATTCCCTTTGTGCTAAAAGTCTTACCCATGGCCTAAAACTAATATCAATGTATACAAAATCTATACTCTTTCCCCAACATTCTAAATGTACATACTTCCCTGTTCTCTTGGTAATCTTTATCAGTTTTGCTGACCAACTGAAGAACTTTTGTTATCAGTTAAGACCTCCTATTTTCTTCTGAAGCTGAATATATTGAATCAATATATTGAATCTGCCTTTGGTGTTTGCACCAAGATAAGGCTTATCTCAGTATTTTAGTTGTAAGAAGCCCTTGGGCAATTCCTGAGAGGATAGTGATAATCAGTCTTTGTGACCTATTGATAAACAGGCTTTTCACTGGGCTAGGCCTTTACATTAGGTTAGCTAAAAATATACTTCAGGATGAGTGACATTGTAAATGAACCTGAGGTGGCTCTATGGTGTCTTGGCTAGTTTTTATTAACTTGAGGTAACCAAGAGTCACCTGGGAAAAGGGAACCTCCTTGAAGAATTGTCTTAATCACTTTGTCCCAGGACCTCAAAAGAAATTGTCTTGGATGATGGTTGATATGGGAGAACCAGGTTCATTGTGGTTAGGGCACGATCCCTATTGTGCTTGCTAATTGTGTATCAACTCTACACAAGCTAGAGTCATTTGAGGAGAGAACCTTAATTGAGACATTGCCCCCACTATACTGGCCTGTGGGCAATCCTGTGGTACATTTTCTTGATGTGAGAGGACCCAGCTCACTATAGGCAGTGCAGTTTCTAGGCTGGAGGTCATGGGTGCTACAAGAATGCAGGAAGAACAAGCCATGAGGATGAAGCCAGTAAACAACAGTCCTCCATGGCCTCTGCATCAGTTCCTGCCCTGCTTATATTTTTGCCCTCACATCCTTCAATGATGGATTGTGGTGGGGAAGTATAAAATGAAATAAAGCCTTTCTTCTCCAGGTTGCTTTTAGTCATGATGTTTTATCACATCAGCAGAAACCTGGAAACTGTACTTGAGCTGCATAACAAAGCTAAGAGATAGAACTAGAGTTTAAGCCAATAAGCAGAGTTCCTCCATGGTTTCTATCTCCAGATTCTTGTCCTGACTTCCATCATTAATGGACTATGATCTGGAAGTGTAAATTGAAATAAACCTTTTCCTCCCCTAAGTTGTTTTTTGTCATGGTGTTTATCCCAGCCAAAGAAATTAAATTACAACATATGGCAAACAACTCAACAAGTTATTGGGTGGATTATCCTGCTTTGCTTTTCCCTTGGATGAAAGCTATCTACCTATGTATACATGGTAAATATCTTTTCTCTAAAGTTAGGTTCCCTTTCAATACTGGAATTTTGAAAGGCAAATAATATTCTCTCTCTCTCTCTCTCTCTCTCTCTCTCTCACACACACACACACACACACACACACACACACTTCAAGCTGGTATAACAACAGATGAATGGTGCTAATTATAAAGCTAGTTATAATTTTGTCTTGGAAATAAAATGAGATTCCTAAATAATAAATATTTTGAGATGGAATGAATCCTAATAGAGTATCTAAATCAAATATATTTTGTTTTTGTTTCACCTAGTACCTTAAAGCTATGTAATGGCAAACCTTAAAGTAGAATGCAGGCCTCCTGTATCTAGTACTCTTTCCATTATATCTTATAAGATGATTCCAGGCATGGAGTTGTATAATTAATCATGCTGTCTAGATATTGTCAAGTAACAAATTCTTATGGTTTTTAGAGAAGTGGCAAATAATAGGCTTAGAACATGTGGATTATGTGATTGTTTCACTGTACATTTGGTGTTTGATGTTGTTTTTCTTCTCAAAGATTTTCAGTTTAGATCTTGGAGGCATATCAACTGTGGTTCTAAATGGCTATGATGTAGTAAAAGAATGCCTTGTTCATCAAAGTGAAATTTTTGCAGATAGACCATGCTTTCCTTTGTTCATGAAGATGACAAAAATGGGAGGTATGTTTTTTCCCAACTGTTCAGTGAATCTATTTTAAATCATATTTCGTATTTTAAATAATTTAGTATAGGCAGATTGTTTTGTAATTTGTGAAACCTGGATTTGAGGAGCCATCAGACTACATTCAATAATGTTTTAGACCATTACATGCTAGTTTTATTGCTATTCAATTCTAAGAAACATAAGTAAACTTTTAAAGATTTTTTTTTCTCTGCCCTCTCACATTCACCCTAACCACCCTCCCGGGTAAAAGTGAGGGAGTGAGGGGATGAGGGAAGGAGGAAGAGAGGGAGGGAGGGAGGGAGGGGGGAACTGGGATCGACATGTAAAATAATAAATTAAATAAAAAAAAAAGAATTAGTACTTGATTAGTACTGAAACAGTTTAGGAGTGCACAGACACAAAACACACACACATACACCAGAAGTTTCCTTTTGGTCACAATCTTGCCTACTTGGCAAAAGACATATTATCATGTATAAACTTATAGAAACTAAAGCAGTCTTTTTTTGTTTGTTTACCTGTTGCTTTTTTATTATTAATATTTCTTATTTTCCATATCTATCCCAGTTCGCTCTCCCTCCCATCCTCCCATGCCCCCTGATTCCCCCTCCCATTCCCCACCCACTCCACAGGGAGGGTAAGGCCTTCCAGAAGGGATCATCAAAATCTGTCATTTGGAGTAGGGCCTAGGCCCTCCCTCCTGTCTCTAAGTTAAAGGAGTAAACCTCTATGGGGAATGTGCTCCCAAAGTCCTTTTGTGCACCAGGGATACATCCTGGTTCCACTGTCAGAGGTCCCACAGACTAAAGCAGTCTTTCTTAACTAGTCATCATTAAGCGGTATAAATGGAAAGCTGTAGAATTTATACAAAGGACAAGCTTTCTGTAGGACTTAGTCATGATCAGATTTGGATGACTACATATTCTGCAAGGAAGAAAAGCTGAAAGTTGACACAATACAAGGAGAAAGCAGCAATAGAATGTCCAAAATAGAATGTTGACACCAGATAGAACTGGTATCTGATTCTTTTAAACAGTAATATTCTAAATTCTGTAATGAGACCTCCACACTTCCTTTCAAAAGAATTTGTGTCTTGTTTAAATAGGTTATATGACAGGTAATAATAACATTAGCAAATTTTGAATTCATGTTTTTCTTTTTTTATTACATGAGCATTTCTATGAACAATTCAAGGCTGCTCTTGACTTTGGCATAGTTACCCTGTTGGGCATCATATACCTTCAACAGAAGGAAATTCATATTGTAAAAATCTAGTAATTTTTTTCAAACAGAAACTTCAGATTTGGGGGTATTTGTTTAATTCCAAATTAAATTTTGTTCATAGAACATACAATTATTTGACTTTTACAAGATACACACACACACACACACACACGGAAAGCTGAGTAATAGATTTATGTAGAGCTACTTTATCTGACTTTACATAAGACTGAACAGTTTCTTGTGATAGGAGAATGAGAATTATAGGTCTTTTCTGCCAGTCCTTTCATGAAGAATAGGTTTTTCTAACGTTTTATGCTTTTGAGCAGCATCAACTAGGACCTCATCATGTATTTAGGTAATTGGGGGCTAAAATCACTAACTCTCCATCTTTGAATTTTTCCTTTGTTTTTTATTCCATACCAATTTACAAAGTAATACAAATTACACACTATTTTTAATACTGTTCTTTTAGGCTTACTCAATTCCAGGTATGGCCGAGGATGGATTGATCACAGAAGATTGGCTGTTAACAGTTTTCACTGTTTTGGATGTGGCCAAAAATCTTTTGAATCTAAAATCATAGAAGAAACTTGTTTTTTAATTGATGCTATTAAAACATACAAAGGGAAACCTTTTGACCTCAAGCAACTAATAACAAATGCTGTTTCAAACATAACTAATCTGATCCTTTTTGGAGGACGATTCACTTATGAAGACACTGATTTTCAGCAGATGATTGAATTATTTAGTGAAAATGTGGAACTAGCTGCTAGTGCTCCAGTCTTCCTGTATAATGCATTTCCATGGATTGGCATCTTACCTTTTGGAAAACATCAGAAGCTATTCAGAAATGCAGATGTGGTCTATGATTTCCTCTCAGGACTTATTGAAAAAGCTGCAGTCAACAGAAAGCCCCATTTACCTCAGCATTTTGTTGATGCCTATTTAGATGAGATGGATCAAAGTAAAAATGATCCTTTATCTATGTTCTCCAAAGAGAATCTAATTTTTTCAGTGGGTGAACTCATCATTGCTGGAACTGAAACTACGACCAATGTGCTACGCTGGGCAATTCTTTTCATGGCCCTTTATCCTAATATTCAAGGTGAGGATATTCTTGACCTCAGGGTCTTTCCTAACATATAGGGCTCATGTATGCTTTAGAGTGCTTGGCCATGTATAAAGCAGTTTTAGTAACTCCAACTGTGAGAACCAAGAAGGGAAATATCTCATAAATATAGTTTTCAAATCTAGTATTTTGTTGCAAATTGAAGAAAGGAAAGAAGGAAAGGCAAGGCAAGGCATGCTAATGGTATTCCTCTAATCTCAGAACTCGAGACTGATGCAGGAGACTCTCTAGCTCAAGGCTACCATAGCCTAAAACCAAGCTGGATATGTATCATGGCACTATGGTTAAAAAAAAAAGTAATGGACCTTAATATGTATATTTTATAAAAGACGTCAAAGGTTGAATGTTTGGAAACCACAAAGCTGGAATCTGAACTCTGCTTTTTCAGGTCTAATGTTCATTATTTTTCTTGCTGACAGTTATATACTACTCTGATCCTAGGCTGATTACACATTTATTCATAATTCTTTTATTGAACTTACTCTGAGTTTGGTTATTATTAATGCAAGTTATAGGGGTATATAATTAATTCATATAACTACCAGATGATGGAAAATTCAAATCTAAAGATACTCATACTTTGTTGACTTATTATGGGCTATCATTTATTGTACCCCAAAGAAATAAGTTTACATATACTTTTAAGAATTCCATAATAACTTTAACATATTTCTCTGACAGGACAAGTTCATAAAGAAATTGATTTAATTATAGGCTACAATAGGAGGCCTTCTTGGGAAGACAAGTGCAAAATGCCTTATACTGAAGCAGTTTTACATGAAGTTTTAAGATTCTGTAATATAGTTCCACTGGGGATTTTCCATGCAACCTCTGAAGATGCAGTTGTACGTGGTTATTCCATTCCTAAAGGCACAACAGTCATTACAAATCTTTATTCTGTTCACTTTGATGAGAAGTACTGGAAAGACCCAGACATGTTCTGTCCTGAGCGATTTCTGGACAGTAGTGGACATTTTACTCGAAAGGAAGCTTTCATTCCTTTTTCTCTAGGTAAGAAAACATTCACATGTATATAATTTTAAAGTATAACGATGACTCATTATTCATACCATCTCATTCTGAAGCAACCTGTTCCAGAGTAGCTAGTTCTGAATACTTAAAAAAAATTTAGTAATTTTTTATTTTTATTGAATAGAGTTTTCCCCTTACTTAACATATTCTGATTACAGTTGTCTCTCCTTCTACTCTTCCCTGTTCCTTCCCACCTCCCCTCCCATATGGATCCACTCCTTTTCTTGTCTCTCATTAGAAAACAAAAGGCTTCTATGGGATAATAATGAGATATAACAGAGTAAATTATAATAAAAAACAAAAATTACCACAACAACAACAATGGGAACTGAAAGAGAAGGCACAAGAGTCAGAGGCCCACTCATTCAGACACTCAGGTATCCAGAACACTAAACTGGAAGCCATTGTGCAGACCCTGAGCATGTTCAACCTCTGAGTCCATCCAAGCTTTAATCATATTGGTTTAGAGGGCCTTGTTTTCTTGGTGTCCTCCATCCCTGCTCTTACATACAACATTACTTCTTACAGGAGGGGATGGTTTCATTAAAGTGATGAGTACCTGTTTCAATTCAAAATATGCCTTGGTTATTAAATAAAGCTAGAGTTGTTGAGAAGCTGTGGCTGGCTACTTCAGAAACTTATGAATGTGGAGGCTATCTGTAATCAAACTTCTAGAGCAAAAATTCAGTAACAAGTATGAGAAACTGAAACCCATATAAAGGAGAGGAAAGATATGACAACTCCAGGTAAACCTAGAATCTTGCCTCTAGTTTATCATGTCATCTCCAACTAATAAATACTGCTTCTGCTATAAAATACAACATGAATCACAGAGCTTGGAAGACGGGCTACATCTTCATCATTAAGGAAAGCACTCAATAGATCAGTTGAAATGGGCTTCCCTTGGATCTATATGAACAAAATGTCACATCACAAAGGCCTTCTATAGCATGTCATAAACTCTATTGCATTGTGTAAGAGAAGTCAGAGATGGGAACAAAATCTTAAAAAGTTCATGATCTGATGTGAGGAAATAAAGGAATGTGTTTCCATGATGAAGTGCTAGTTTCTAATCTTTGAGATTAGATCATAATATGATCTATTTTAACCTAAAATCCTGATTTCCTGAATGACAGCCAAATATTAGATATTTTAGTAAATGGTCTTTAAACTTGTTTCCTTTCTGTTCAGGGAGAAGACACTGTCTTGGAGAACAACTGGCTCGGATGGAAATGTTCTTGTTTTTTACAGCATTGCTTCAGCAATTTCATTTGCATTTTCCACATGAGCTAGTTCCAAACCTGAAACCCAGGTTGGGCATGACATTGCAACCCCAGTCCTACCTCATCTGTGCAGAAAGACGCTAAAAGTACACACTGTATTAGAGGATTACCTTGTTTAATCAATAATAATATTTGGGCCAAAGCCACAGTTTTATAAAGCCAAGTGAACATGGATACATGTTTAAAATAGTACTAGAGTAATAACAAGCATTAGCTATGTTATTTTTCTAACTTCCACAAACTCTTGTTGTAAAATTGTATTGAATGACACAAAGCTGCAGGTGTTATGTAGATACTAAAAAGGGCCATGGATGCACCAAACAGAGCTGTTGTTTAATATAAGGTTTCTCTGATCTGGCTCCATCCTCGGTAACTTTATGTTTTGCTCCAGAACTGACTCTTTTATGATCAAGTGTTGTGATTAGCAATTTGTGATATTACTCTGGGACCAAAGAAGAAATAAAACCCACATAAATGATTTTTTTACTACATAAGTATTTTAGATATGATGATAGGCAGTGGAATACCTTTATATTTAATACAGACCCTTCCAGTGCTTTCAGGTATTCCTCTCTACTATGTGTTCATAAGAACTGTGTCATTCTTCCTGTAAACAAGAGTTTCTGTGTCACCAAGCATTCATCCACAAAGCAGCAGTTCAATATATAAGAAATATACTATGCAGTTGGCTATTTATTCTTTCTTTGTAGACACAATCATTACACCTCTCCTGGTTCCACTTATTTCTAAAACCAGTCACAGAGCTCAAAAATTCAAACATCTTATCTTACCGAGGTCTTGGAGTTAGGCAGGCTTTCTCAAAAATATTGTCAGCATTGAGATCTGAACTTGGGTCCTCTCCAAGAGCAGTACAAGCTTTAGCTGCCAAACCATCTCTTCTTCAGACCATGTATATTTTCAAATAATAATTTTCAAATGACAATGAACCATTCTTAAGGCATAAGTGTATAAGACCTTTTCCTTTTCCCAGCTATAAAATTACTTTTCTTGGGAATCTCACAAGAAATTCCATTTATACTGAAGGACATGACTTAAACTCTGTGTAATTCTTACAATCCTTGGTTTTATTTTATCAGATGGTAATTCTACCCAAAGTACCTCCAGTGCCACACTATAATCCTATTTGTAAAAAATTAGAAACAAAGAAGGAAGTAAAAAGTTATGTAACAACACTTTGATCTGTAACATGAAAGCAACCAAAATTTTGTGTGTGTGTGTGTGTGTGTGTGTGTGTGTGTGTGTGTGTGTGTGTGTGTGTGTGTGAGTGAGTCTTCCTTAGGAAGCCCATTCACACTTAGCTATCCTTTCCCTGAGTTGGGTGCCTCTCTTTCAATTAACCCCAATGCTTAAATCTATTTTAGCCGGTTGTGATGACACACGTCAGTAGGATTTGCTGAAGGAGGCAAAAGCAGGAGGATCATGAGGTCAAGGCCAGCCTGAGCTACATATTTTGGGGCTAGAGAGTGAGTCTAACACCCCCTCCACCTCCTTGGAACTTCCTCGGTCAGCTCTGACTTGCCTATCCATACTCACCTTATCTTTGGGCCCCATCGCTTGCTCTCTGCCGAAGGTGAGTCAGGGACCAGTTCAGGCCGAATGCCCCTCACATCCTTCCCTGGGATTCCCTGAGTTAGCTACACATCTCACTCCCCCCTATAACCTTTCCCTAAGTGGTTTAGTCCTGGTACTCTGGTCCATATACCACCCAGAGCCTGCCTTTCCCTCACCCTTGGTCCTGCTGGGCCCACTGCTCAATGTGAGTGTTGGGTCAGATAGTGGGTCCAACCCCTCAACTTCCGTGGGATGTCCTGGGTCAGCTCTGAGCATACTGAACCCGCCTATCCACACAGAACCACCTTAAACTCCCCATTCATCCATTGTGGGGAGGATGAGATACAGGGGAGAATAGTCCCAGGTATCTTATCAGACCACCATACTTTAAAGTTGGAATTCAACAACAACACAAATTGCAGAAACCCTACAAACTCATGGAAAATGAACAATGCACAATTGCACCATTCCTGGGTCAAGGAAGAAATAGAAAGAAATTAAAGACTTCCTAGAATTCAACAAGAATAAAGACACAACATACCCAAACTTATGAGACACTGAAAGCAGTGCTACGAGGAAAGTGCATTGCATTAAGTGCCCATATGAAGAAAATGGAAGATAGTCACATTAGAGAATTAACAGCGCAACTGAAACCCCTGGAACAAAAAGAAGCAAACCCACCCCAGAGGAGTAGATGCCTACTCAAATAGAGGGCTGAAATCAATAAAGTAGAAACTAGGAAAACAATACAAAGAATGTAACACAGAGTTGTTTTTTTTTTTTTTTTTTTTTTTTGAGAAAATCAACAAGATAGACAAACCTGTATCTAAACTAACCAAAAAGGAGAGAGAAAACATGCATATCAACTAAATCACAAATGAAAAGGGGGACATAACAACGGACACTAAGGAAGTCCAGAGAATTTTCAGGTCATACTTTGAAAACCTGTACTCCACAAAATTTGAAAATTCAAAGGAAATGGACAAATTTCTGGATAGCTATCACCTAAATTAAATCAAGAACAGATGAACAATTTAAATAGATTTATAACCCATAATGAAATAGAAGCAGTCACCAAAAGCCTCCCAATCAAAAAAAGCCCAGTGCCAGATGGCTTCAGCGCAGAATTCTATCAGAAATTCAAAGAAGAGCTAATACCAATACTCCTCAAATTGTTCCACAAAATAGAAGCAGAAGGTTTATTACCAAACTCTTTACAAGGCTACAATTACATTGGCAGCCAAGCCACACAAAGACACAATTAAGAAAGAGAGCTGCTGACCAATATGAAGGAAAAGTACTCAATAAAATACTGGCAAAATGAATCCAAGGGCACATCAGAGAAATCATACACCGTGACCAAGTAGGCTTCATTCCAGGCATGCAGGGATGGTTCAACATACGAAAATTTATCAATGTGATCCACCAGATAAACAAACTGAAAAAGAAAAACCACATGATCATCTCACTAGATGCTGAAAGCCTTTGACACAATCCAACACCCTTTCATGATAAAGGTCTTGGAAAGATCAGGGATAATAGGAACATAATAACATAATAAAAGCAATATACAGTAAACCAACAGCCAACATCAAACTGAACAGAGAGAAGGCAATTCTCTAAAATCAGGAACAAGACAAAGCTTCCCACTCCATATCTCTTCAATATTGTATGTGAAGTTCTAGCTAGAGATATAAGACAATAAAAGGAGATCAAGGAAAGGAAGAAGTCAAACTGTCACTATTTGCAGATGATATGATAGTTTATATAAGTGACCCAAAAAACTTTACCAGGTAACTCCTACAACTGATAAACACTTTCAGCAAATTAGCAGGATACAAAATTAACTCAAAAAATCAGTAGACCTACTTTATTCAGATGACAAAGGGGCTGAGAAAGACATCAGAGAAGCATCACCATTTATAATAGCCACAAACATAAAATATCTTGGGCTAATGCTAAGCAAACAAGTGAAAGGCCTATATAATAAGAACTTTGAATCTTTAAAGAGAAATTAAAGAAGATACCAGAAAATGGAAAGATCTCCCATGCTCTTAGATAGGTAGGGTAAGCATAGTAAAAATGGCAATCTTGCCAAAAGCAATCTACAGATTCAAAGCAATCCCCATCAGAATCCCAGCACAATTCTTCACTGACCTTGAAAAGATAATACTCAACTTTATATGGAAAAACAAAAGGCCCAGGATAGCCAAAACAATCCTGTATAATAAAGGAACTTCAGGGGGAATCACTATCCCTGACTTCAAGCTCTACTATAAGGCTATAGTCCTAAAAACAGCTTGGTACTAGCACAAAAATAGACAGTAGACCAATGGAATCTAAATGAAAATCCTGATATTAACCCACACACCTACGAATGCCTGATTTTTGACAAAACTGCTAAAATAAATGGAAGGAAGAAAGCATCTTCAACAAATGGTGCTGGCACAACTGGATGAAGAAGACTGCAGATAGACCCATTTCTATCGCCATGCACAGAACTTAAGTCCAATTGGATCAAAGACCTTAACATAAATCCAGCCACACTGAATCTCTTAGAAGAGAAAGTGGGAGGTACCCTTGAACAAATTGTTACAGGAGACTTCTTCCTGAGCATAAAACCAGTAGCACAGACACTGAGATTGACAATTAATAAATGGGACCTCCTGAAACAGAAGGTTCTGTAAGGCAAAGGACACAGTCAACAAGACCAAACAACATCCCACAGACTGGGAAAAGATCTTCACCAACCCCACATCTGACAGAGGGCTGATCTCCAAAATATACAAAGAATTCAAGAAACTAGTCATCAAAACACCAAATAACCCTATTAAAAAGTGGGGTACAGAACTAAATAGAGAATTATCAATAGAGGAATGCAAAATCGTTGAAAGACACTTAAGATCGTGATAAACATCCTTAGTCATCAGTGAAATGCAAATCAAAACAATTTTGATATACCATCTTACTTACTCCTGTCAGAATGGCTAAAATCAGAAACACAATGTCAGCTTATGCTGGAGAAGATGTGGAGAAGGGGAGCACTCCTCCACTGCTGGTGGGAGTGCACTTGTTCAGCCATTTTGGAGATGAATATGGCGGTTCCTCAGGAAAATGGGAATCAGTATACCACAGGAGCAGCAATTATTCTCTGGCATATACCCAAATGATCCACATCCATGCAACAAAGACATCTGTTCAACTATGTTCGTAGCAGCATTATTTGAAATAGCAAGAACCTGGATGCAACCTAGATGCCCCTCAACTGAAGAATGGATAAAGATGTGGCACATTTACCCAATGGAATAATACTCAGCCAGCAAAAAAAGAAAAACTTTTTTTTGTTTTGTTTTGTTTTTAACAATGGCATCTTGAAATTCACAGGCAAATGCATGGAACTTGAAGAAACCATTCTGAGAGAGGTAACCTTGTCACAAAAAAAGGAACAGGGTATTTACTCATATGTGGATTTTAGTCATAGAGCAAAGGATCACCAGCCTATAATTCACACTGCCAGAGAAACTAGGCTACAAGGAAGGACCTAAGAGATTCATACAAGGTCTCTCACAGAAGGGGAAAGAAAGAAGATGTACTGAG